CTGCAGCAGGGTTGGAGAACCTATCTTAAGGAAGGAAGTGAAAGATGATCCCCTCTCATTAGTAAGGAATTCGGATGAAGAATGCCAGAAGGTTTCCAGCTTCCCTCCCGCTCCCCATTCCGTTAAGACAAGGATGATACGTGCTTTTTGTTCTGTTCTTCTGCTTTTGATTCAGTGGGGGAGACATGGGTAAGTTTGGTTTATGCTTCCTGCAACAGAATGCAACCTCACTACGAAGGTAACTACAGGTCACACCCTCTTTCTAATAGAGAACACAATCTCAATAGAGGCTTCCCTCTCTGAGATCTTCTCATCTGAGAAGTGACTCAACTTCCCCTAGTTCAACCCACTGAATGAGGATGGGGCTCCGAGGTGCAGAAGAGGATGGATTCAGTTGGGCAGAGATTCAGGTTCTTACATTTACTGCTCAAAACCCTGGGAAGGACCATCATACTGGCAGCAGCTGAGGTTTCTTTTTATTGAAATGTGTTGGGCCCAGGACTTACCCAAACATGGTTAAAAGCCACTAACTTACATAGAGGAAAAGTGTGGTGACAAAGGGTGTGGGGACAGGGTAACTGTTTGGGTTTCTTCATCTTAACTCCTACCCTAAGAACTGCCTAGGTTTCCTCTTACCCTGCAAAGACACCTTCTATAGCATTCCTATACTTAAAGAATAGTGCTTCAATTCCTCAGTAGAGCGTTCAACCATGGCTTTCTGGGTGGAACTGGCTTTTGGACTCACCCTTGCAGATGCTATGTTCCCACCAGACCACCTATTCCCTGAAAAACCCCGTTATCCAGAGTCTGTACTTTTGCTGTGCTATTATTCCCTTCTCCTTGTCCAGCTGTCAAACTTCTACTCAACCTTCAAGGCCCAGCTAAGGAAATCACACTTCCGTGCGGCTTTCCTAATCCTCTCACCTCAGGTAAGATTAACTGCACCCCCATCCGTGCTCCCAGTCTTTTACACATGCCTTCATCACATACCTACTGATGTACAATTGTGTGTGTGCAGTCTCTTCCCTGCTACTAAAAATGCAAGCTGCACGTGAGCAGCATCGGTGTGCCGGGAGGCTGCCGAAGTAACGTGGAAGCGCCCCTCCAATCCAGACCCACCAAATCCCAGTCTGCCGTCAAACAGGATCCCAGAGTGGTTCAGGTCTAGACCAACAGTTCTCAACTCGGCTGCCCATCATCGATGCCTACCCCAGGCCATTTAAAAGCTCCCCCAGAAGATTGTAATGGGCAGTGGCTGAGATCCGCAACTCAAGGATGGTTGGCATCCTGAGGGCAAGGACTCATGAAGCCTGTGTCTATACCCCCCCCCACCTTCCCCCTGCCCCCCCTATTTGCAGCATGGTGCCTGGCGCACACCAAAAGTACCCTCTAGGGTGATCCCAGGCCTAACTGCCTTGGAAAGAGAATAAAAATTCCTGACAGAGGATTATCAACTGCCTAGAACATTCCACAACCCTAATTACAATAACGGAGGAGCTGGATTTGGAAAGGGTCAGCGTTTACAGACTATCCGCCTCAGTTTTGGGAAATGAGAGGAAACAGAAACTGAGATGGAAAATACAGATGAACTTCAGAAAAGTGTTCCCCCTCAAGAGACTACCAGAGACTACTGCGGCTGCTCAGGGAGATGGAGCCGGGGTAGCGAGGGAGCGTGGTGTTCCGTGAAGAGTCCTGGGTTATGGCGGAAATCTTGGGCTGTGGGCCTGACTCCTTCAACACTGACCATAACAACACAGCATTGTTCTCAGTGTAAAATCAGGCCAAGCCCTCTCATTATATAAACAAGGGAACTGAGGTCCAGAGAAGCTGGCAAGGCCACACCACCAGCTGGGGACAAAAGAAAGCCGTGGCCCCCTTTCTTGTGTAGCCCTTCCCCTGCCCCACAGCTTTGCCGCAGCACAAGGCGCTCTGGACCAACGTCCTGATCTACACGAGGCGGTTGCACTGGACGTTGTTGAGGTTTCTTCCAACCTTGACCTTCTAGTGAGGCAGCGTAGCTTCACAGGAGCTTGTGTTCTAGAGTGGAAAGACCTGAATCTGCATCTCAATCTAACAATTTCCTCATCTCTGTAAGGTGGGAATTAGAATCAACCCTGTCCTGTGAAGTCGTTGTGAACATTAAGTGGGACAATAAAGCATTAAGCATAATAGCAGAATTCTGACTGTGAACTTGAAGAAATTACAAGAACACTGTAACCACGTTTCCCCAACATAAAAAGCCCTACCTGCCAAGCAGGTATATATTTTGTATATTGATTACAAAATGAGAGAACGTATGTGAAGGCATTTGGGGAGAAAAGTCGCTATAAAAGGGAAAGCATTTATTCGTGTTGTACTATTATTGATATTACAATTTCCTAGAGGAAGAACTGTGGAAAATGTTATAGATAGTTCTGGAGCAGCAGCCAACAATGCCTGGCATATAACAGGTGCTCAACAAATCTTTTCTTGTGACTTAAATTAAATCAGCATGCCTCATGGGGCTATAAATTCAAATGCCTTAAGTAGCCAGGCAGGTAACTAAATAAACCAAGTATCCTCCATGTGGGGACTGGGCAAACTGCAAAGTACCACACTGCCTAGAGGAGCGGAGTTCAAATTCAACATTTGTTAAAACATACGCAGCTTGGCCAAGACAGCCACTCTGCAGCCTCTGGCATACAACTGATTCTGGTTCCTCATCACACCACATGATGTCTTGCACATCATCTAGTCATTTTATGTGATCCAGTCTTGTCTTGCTGAGGACACCATAAGCAGCCTGAAGATGAAGGCTGTGACTTATACTCCCCAATCACCACAAATGGCCCAGAACAGCACCAGCCTCACAGCAGGCACTCAGTGAGCAATTGTTAAACTGAAACCCAGACTGTAAACTCATGCCTAGTATTCTCAGCATCTTTGAGATGCTGCAGGGTGTTTAAGTTTTTCTACCCAGGTCCTGGGACCAGGCTGAGTTATGGTGACCGGGTCAAAGAAGCACTTGCCTTGCAGATTTTTCTTTGATTGGATCAAATATGCTTTTGCCTGAGCCACCTCGGCAGATGTTACTGCTACATCCAGACACATTATCTCAGCCTGGGACATGCTAGACTGTGTCGTACACTGCCATCGTTTTTAAGAAGTTTGGTCTCCACTTCCTGCACCCCCAAACTGCCTTGGCACCTCCTAAAGGAAGCGGGAGGTACAGAAAGACCAGACTGAAGCTTAACAGACGGAGGTCCTAATCCCGCCTCTTCCGCTCACGACCTCTAGGATGGTCCCCGGCAGGTAACATCTTAGAGGAGCTTCAGTATTTTTATCAGCAAAATGCAGATAACAATAGTTATCTTAAAAGAAGTCTAGAGAGAATTAAACACCATCAGGTATATAAAGTGTCTAGCACTCCACAGCCCAATACCCCAGTCCCTAGCCAAAAGTGGCTACTTGAAAAGTGGCTACTGTGAAGTGAGATGGGCTGTCCTCAGTGTAAAATATACACCAGATTTTGAAAACTTAGCACAAAAACAATGTAAAATGTCCATTAGTAAGTATTTTATATTGATTACGTTACAATGTTATTTTGGAATATATTGGGTTAAATAAATTACCACAATTAATTTCACCTTTTAAAAAATGTGGCTACTAGAAAATTCAAAATTACATATATGACTCGCATTATATTTCTATTGAACATCATGTAGCACTGAGCCTGGCACACAAAAAGTATTCCAAATGTTGGTTTCCTTCCCCCACAGGTAGGACCATGAGGGACCACGATTCACATCCCCTTCCTCTTGCCAAACCCAAACCCCACATTCATTTATTTAGTAGATATATGTAGTGCCTAGCCCTGTGCGAGATGCTGGAGACACAATAAAGGGCAAAGCCACCCACTATCTTCTTCCTTGTGGATCCTACTATCTGGTGGGATGGATAGACAGGTGTTAATACTTTCGTAAATAAACGGAAAACTGCAGTTGTGCAAGTGTTGTGAAGAGGTATTAATACACAAGGTGATGAAAGCGGAGAACTGACTTGGTCAAGGACTCAGGGACCAGGGATGCCTCCCCTGTGGAAGTGACACCAGGGCAAAGATTTTAAGGATGAAGAGTTTACTAGCCAGGGAGGAAAACAGTCCAGGGAGAAGGAATACTAAGGGAAAGGCCCTGAGGAAGGCAAAAGCTTGGGATGTAGATGGCACAAAAAGAGGCCAATGTGTGAAGAACACTGAGCAAGTGGGACTAGTAGACTGAGACTTGGGAGAGGTCGGTGGGACCTCCAGGGACTGGGGGATGATCTGGGACTGATCCTGCAAGGAGATGGAAAGCCGGCCAGTTTCATGCCCGAGTGTCCAGATCTGATCTGCATTTTGAAAACATTTCTCTGGGCAGGGTGCAAGTCGGACACAAGAGCGGCCCCAGTGCCTGTGGGCAGACCAGTTAAGACACTGCAAGTGTCAGGCAGGAAGCGACAGGCCTGAACTGAGGGGTAAGCGGCCGAGACAGAAAGTAGACGGATTGGGGAGCGGAGGGGCTACTGAGCCGGCAGGATTGACCGGAAGCGGTGATGGACGAGGTCAAGCTTGACCCCCGGGCTTTGGACCTGTGCCGCCCCGCCCCAAATGCTCTCCCGGCTCCCTTCAAGCCTCTCCCATCTCCTCCCTCCCCCCTTCCTCCCACCCTCCTCCTCCCTCCGACCGCTGCCCGGCCCAGCCCCCGCGCCTCGTCGCCTGGCCCGCCCTCTTCCCCCACCCGACACCCCTTCTGGGCTCCAGGACCGGGTCTCCCCTCACGCCCTGCGGACCCTGCTGGGCCGCGACCCCTCGAGGGCCGGACGAACCGCCGCGGTCCAGCCCAGGCCCGCCCTCTCCAGCCCCTCAGTCCCCAGGGCAGATGCAGGCCGCAACCCCCGGTCCGGCCTCTCCTCCCTGCATCCTTCGGGCCCAGCCCCTCTCCGCCACCGAGCGAGCCGCGGCCCCTGGAGCGCCCCTCACTCACCAGGGCGCTGACCTAGGCCCAGCTCCCGCGCCCGGGTCTAGCCTTGGCGGCTCCTCCAGCCTCCGCCCGCCCCGCCTTCCTGGGACCCCGCCCCGCGCAGGCCGGCCCAGGATTTGATTGCTCCGTTTCGCCGTCACGTTGAATTCCCTTTCTTCAATTGGATCGTTTATCTGTCACTCAAGATAGGGCGGGCCCAGCTGCCAGTTGGGGGAAAAACGCCGGCGGTCCCCGCCCCCCTAGTAGAGGCCTCTTAAAGAAACAGGATGCCATTTCCTTCGGGCTTCGGGTCTGGAGAGGAACGTGATTTCCCAGCAGACCCTACAGGCAGCTTTTTTTTTTTCCTCCAAACTTTTTCCTTTTTTTTCGCAGTCCGAGAGTGAAGGAAAAGGCTTTGGCTCCTTGTGACAAATCAGGTTGTGAGGACTAAGCTGTCCTCTGGTTTCACTCCACTCTGTGCCCAGCGGGCACTTAACGCAACCCAACAGTGGGGATAACTGTGGTTTAGGCAATGAGTGGGAGGTGACAGTCGTGTCAGAGGCACCACCGAGATTGAGCTAATTATACCGGCACCCAGGGCTGCCCGTGGGCGCTGAGCAGAGGCAGAAGGGTACAACTCAGCTGTACTGTTGGTAGAGATCAGTGGGAGGTGGCATTCGTCACTGCACCTGCGGATCGGAACAAGACCGGGCACGGCGCCAACGACTCACTCCTGCTATTTCTCTGAATGCTCACAGCAGCCCTGTGATGTAGGTAGTATGCCGGTCCCCTTGTTACAGATAGGGAAACTGAGGCTCAGAAAGGGTCAGAGATCCTGTAGCTGGTGATGGGCAGAACAAGATGCCAAGCTACGCCTGTTTGATTCCCAAGTTTATACTTTAATCAATTAGTCTAGAAGATCCTTACAAGCCCGGGAGGTAGGTATTTTGTTGTCCCTTTTACAGATCAAGAAACGGATACTCAGCAAAGAGACTAAATAATGACTACCATTTACATGGCACTTCACAGTCTGCAAAGCAGTTTTACAGATGTTGTTTCATTTGATCCTCAGAATGTCTTGGGATCAAGATGATTTTCATTAGTCGTATTTTACCAGCGAGTAAAATGATGCTCAGGGAGGTTGAGGCTTAGTCGTAGCTGACATTGCTACAGCCCTGGCAGAGGTTGCTCTTTCACTTTCTCACTGGCTGGACCCAGCCTTGACCTTGTGATGATGAAGACATGCTGGGAGACAGAGTCGCAGCATATAAGGTGCCAAATGACCAAATGGAGCCGAAAGCTACCTGCTGACCAGGGATACTCATTTCGTGCTTTTATATGAAAGAGAAATAATCTTCTTTGTTCTTTAAGTCACTAACTTCTTTTTGGAGGGGGGTTTGTTTGTTAGAGCCAACCCTGCACTCACCCAACACCGAGAGTGAGAACCTCCTTAAATTTTGTGCCCTGGGTGCTTCATTTGCCTCATCTCAGTCCTGGCCCTGCTTAATAATACACATTTATCTAAGGAATGAATCATTCACTTTAGCTTTACAATACTTTGTCTTTTTTTTTTTCTTGATATGCCAGTGCAGGTTCTTTGATTGCAAGTCTTAGCAACCAATTCTGGCTAAGTTTATCAGGAAAGGATTTTATTGGCAGGCTAGTGTCTAACTCACAGAGGTGACAGAAGCTAGAGAATCAGGCTTAGAAAAGGACAGAGAGCAGAGATGCTTGGGAGTTTAGGTAGCCAAAATCAGTCAGTTACATCCTTTTCTCCACTTCCTTGATCAGAGCTTTCTTTGATCAAAGTCCCTGGAACAACAGTCCAATAGGCCAAGCTCTGGTTAACATGTCTATACTTCAGCTAAGAAAAGCAGGCACCTTGGTTGCCTGCTCCACCAAGACTGACACTAATGAAGACTTCCAGATCCCTCTACCTACATCCCAGCTGCTACTACTGGGCAACTGAGGTCAGGGACACTGTTTTCAGGCTGGGATCAAATAGGAGGAGTACCTGCAGCTGAATGTCATGATTACACAAACCCAACACAATGTCTTGCACATGGTAGAGTATAGTAGTTAAGATCCTCAGCTTTGTAATCATATAGACCTCTCTGCTACTTACCAGCTGTGTGTCCTTGGGTAAGTTACCAGCTCTCTCTGAGCCTTGGTCCCCTCATCTGTACAATGGGGAGAATAACAGTACCAGCCTTAATAGATTGTTGTGAGAATTAAATGAGTTATGGTAAATACACAACACTTAGCACTGTGCCTGGCACAGAGTGCTCAATAAATTGTAAATTTTAAATTTTTAAAATTATAGTAGGCTTTCAATAAGTATTTACTGTGTAAGTGAACTACCTATAATTAGTTCCCCTAAAATCACATCTGAAACTGGAACATATCAAAATACCCCTCCCAGTTCTCTAATCCACTTGACCGTACACACTTGTGAACTCTGTCATCCCCTTTGGGGCCTCACTTCCCTCCTTACCCAGCTTAGAACCCTGGTCTTCACCATAATCACTCCCTCGTGTTCACCCTCAACTCCCATGCTCCCTTCTCTCTCCAGTTATTCACCTGGAGAACCACAACTCTGCTCAAACCCAACTCACCACCATTCCATACCTATGCCCAGCAAGTGAAAGAGGCTGGAGAAAAATACGGAACCTTTCTGGCCCAAGTGGGTCCTCCACACTGCGGGGCAATCCTGCTGCTTCCCTAGTCAATTCACTCTCAGTTGCCCAGAAGCTATCTTGCATCTTCTTCTCTCTTCTGCCTTCAACTCTTCATTTTTAATTGAGGACCTTATTTCTTTGGAGGCGAAAGAAAGAATAAGGAGAAAATTATCTCATCTTCTCATCTCCAAATCCACCAATCCACCCGCATCAGCACCCTGCTCCTTTGTAAGGGCAAAACTCTGCAGTTGTACCCAACATTTCATCTCCTCTCACCTCAGAAACTTTGCTTCTGCAGTCCTCCCTTCTCCCCTGCAACATCAATGCTTCCGTCTTTCTCATCAGCATCCATGTGCGCTATAATAGGACACATCTTTGGAATGGCGAGGAACACAAAGTCAAAAATCTTTACCATGTTCTACAACTGCGGTCCCCAACCCTGGGCCACAGACTGGTACTGGTCTGTGGCCTGTTAGGAACTGGGGCTGCACAGCAGGTGAGCAGCGGGTGAGCAAGTGGAGCTTCATCTGTATTTACAGCTGCCCCCCATTGCCGCATCACTGCCTGAGCTCCACCTCCTGTCAGATCAGCCATGGCATTAGATTCTGCATTATGGATTTGTATAATTATTTCATTAGATATTACAACGAGATAATAATAGAAATAAAGTGCACAATAAATGTAATGCACTTGAATCATCCTGAAACCATCACCCACCTCCCTCCCCGGGGGGTCCATGGAAAAATTGTCTTCCATGAAACTGGTCCCTGGTGCCAAAAAGGCTGGGGACCACTGGTCTACAAGAGCTTAAATCATCTGGAACTTTACTTCTTTGACTTAATCTATTTCTACTCTCCCCCTCACGCACTGCTTGAATCTTACAATCAAACTTCTCATTCTTTGAACACAGTTCCTTCCAACTTCCGTGCCTTTGCACTTGCTGTTCCCTCTCCTAGAATGCTCTTCCCCTGGTCATCCCATGGCTAACTTCTTCACTTTATTCAGGTCATGCTCTAATACCTCCTTCAGACAAATCTTTCCTGACCACTCTAGCTCCTATAATCCAGCCCCTCCACCCCACTCTGTTCCCTTAACCTGCTCTAATCTTATTTCTGGCACTGGATGTCATATTATTACTTTTTTGTTTTCTACTTTCAAATTCGTTGTAAACTCCATGATGGAAGGGATGTTGACTGTTTTGTTCATAGCTGTATCCCTGACACTTAGAGTGTATTATGTTGTCAATATCTTATTTATTGCATCATTGAATAAACAAAAATAAATCATGGGTAAATGGAAGGTCTCTATGAGTTTCACATGTTTGAATCTTTCTAAACACTCATAAATTAAGCATGACCCTTCTGACATACAATTATTATCAAAATACAACCCCTGCCACCTCACCAGAAGGAATTTTATATGGTAGCTCATGAACGTCAAAACCTGCATTAATCTGCTAAAGGAAATAGAACTAGCATTTATCGTGGGTCTACTATCTGCCAAGATTTACATTGGAGGCTGTTCTATACATCATCATACTTAAAACTGTCAACTTCCTATGGTATATTAGAGTGCCCATTTTACAGATGAGGAAGATTGCGGTTTAGCGATGTGAAAAAGCTTGTCAAGGCTGCACAGCCTGGCTGGTACCCAAGTCAATCTGACTTCAAAGTGTATGTCTTTCTTTTTATCTTACCCTGGGGAAACAACATATCTGGGCATGTCATTCTTCAATTCATTCTTTTTTCACACTTTTTAAACCTGGATACAGATGAGACAGTGTGCTAAGGTTTTTACATGATTTTGCATTTGATCCTTCTGTTCCTATGAAGCACATACTGTTACCATCCTTATTTTACAAATGAGGAAACTGAGGCACAGGAAGTTTCCCAGGGTTTTTTGGTTGAGTGGTGAAACCAGTATTCACATCCAGTTCTGTGTCATTTCAAGGCCTCTGTCTTTTCTGCACCACGGTGCTGTCTCCCTTAAGACATCTCTCCACCTCAGACAGAAAGACAAGAAAAATGGCTAAAACAGGCGAATAAAGTATCATTAAGAAAATTCATGGTGACTTGGTTCTTTAAGCGGGAAGAAAAGGGCAGGAGGCAGACAGCCAGTCTAGCATCAGCTCTTGCGGGCTGGGGGTTCACATAACTCACGAAAACTTAATTTGCGAAGATCGTTCTTCCAGGAACTGGGGAGTAATCGCGTATTTGTGTGCGCGAAAGGCGAGGAAGGGGCGGGGGACTCGAGACCGTGGGGAGCAGTCGCCTGTGAACCCCGGCAGGAGACTGGCGCCCTCTGCTGGCGGGCGCAGGAGGTCGTCTCCCAACATCTAAAGGAAGCGGGGGTGGGGGTGGGGGGGTGTTGGTGGGGGTGAGAGGGCACTGGGGAAGCACAGTCAGTGGAAGTTGAAAAATTTCTAGCA